AAAAAAAAAAAAAAAAAAAAAAGAACCTATTAATAGTGATCAATCTTACGTATTGAAACTGCTTCCTGTCCTTGGGGCGCCTGGGTGGCTTAGTCGGTTAAGCGTCCGACTTTCGCTTAGGTCATGATCTCGCGGTTCGTGGGTTCGAGCCCCGCGTCGGGCTCTGTGCTGACTGCCAGCTCAGAGCCCGGAGCCTGTTTCAGTCTGTGACTCCCTCTCTCTCTGACCCTCCCCTGCTCACGCTCTCTCTCTCTCCTAGAAATAAATAAAACATTAAAAAAAAAATTTTTTTCAAAAAAAAAAAAAACTGCTTCCTGTCCAAATTAATCATTCTGGGAAGCATTACACTGTTTCTTGTCAGGGAGCAAAATGTTACTTAAATCTTGTGGGAGGCCTCTCATTACCATGTTTATGATATAGTGTGTATAAAATGATATTACCAATTTATTTGCATGAATGGTCAAAAGACTCTGGCACTAGTAGCCCCCTTTCTCTCTGTTAACAGATCTACATGAAAAGACAAAAGTTTTCCAAAGGTTTGTTTGGTGGACAAAAGAAGTACCTTTTTTCATTCAATTTGGTAACAGGATTTGAAAGCCTAGTCCATCCACCCATCCCTCTAGGTGATAGGTAACGCTTATTTTCAGCATTGTTAGTATATTAGATTTACCATTTATTGCCTCCCTTTCATTCTCCCTTCTAAGAGAATCTGCCTTCCTTTCTGTAACCCCAGTTACCATGTTTGTGCCAAATGAACCTGCTTATGACCACATCTGACTGGCCTAACCCAAGCCATGCCAATCAGATTCTGCCTCAAATATTTGAAGAGTGTTAAGAAACTGAGTGAATTGGGATATACAGAGTTAGGACCTAAGGCATCTATGTGGCAAACCAAAGCCACATGTCAGCCAAAATGAAGGGAGCAAAGAAATCATGTGTTAGCAGATGTCAAAAGAACAGATGCTTGAGAGAGGCAGAGACAAGAGGCCCAATGGCTTTAGAGCAAAAGAAATAGAGAAAGAAGCTGCCTTCTGAATAGCTGCTTTCCTTGCAGAGGCCAGTTGCTCTTTCTGCACTTTTTTTTCTGTAAGATTCTTCAGTAGACATTCAATAATTATCCTTCCTTAATTGAACTAATATGAATGGATTTCTGGTCCTGGCAATCCAACAGTCTTCCTACTAAGACAATGAGTATAGCAACATTCATGAAAGCTATCATAAAAAAAAAAAAAAAAAAAAAAACTGTAAAAGTGAGCTCTGCAACTCCAGTGTATAATTTATATGTATATACGATATGAAAATATATAACTCTCCTCAATTGCAAGTAATTATTATGATAAATTAAGAATGTTTACTTAATATAATGATTTATTATAACAGTAGGGATATGAATTCAACCAATATTTTACTGAGCATTTACTATATGCCAACAATTGGAGGTACAGACATGACTATCTCATAGTCATTGCCTTTTAGGAACATACATAGTCCTATTGGAATGACAAATTTATGAACAAGTGGTATACCCAGACAATATAGTACAGGTTAAAATAGAAATGCATACATGTTTCTTAGAGGAGCTCAAAAAACAAAGCATTGGGATATTAGGATGGGGGTTGCCTGAGAAGTGACATTAGAGTTGAGACCTGAAATCTAATAGAAGTTGTCCACGTGGTTAGGTGTGAGGAAAAGGCTTTCCAAGCACAAGAAACAATGGGCACAAAAGCCAGGAAATGGGAAAGATCATGAACTTTACAAGAGGAACTACTTTATATGGCTGGAGCACAAAGTATGAAAACAATGAAGGAAAGATAGGTGAAACCTTCCATGACAAACTAAAGAAGTTCAGATTTTACCATGTAGGCAATAGAGAGTTATTAAATAATGTCAAGCAGCATAATTACAGGATAAAATGTGCATTTTAGAAAGAACAGTAGCTATGGAGGATGAATTGGACTGGAATAAAGTGTGGGCACACACAAGACCAGAATTAGGAAGACTTTTGGGCATATCCATTCAGGAGATGGTAAACATGTGAAGTAAGGCAACAACGATGAAATTGGAGAAGAAGGGGAGCTCAGGAGGCATGTAGGAAGTCAAATTTACAAGATGTAGGAACTGATTTGGAAGGAAGAGTAGCAGCTGCCTGGCTTAGGGTACCAGATGAATGATAATTAACTATGAGAGAAATAAAGGCGTGAAACAAGAGCTAGGGTAGGTTCTTTGAGTTTGTGGTGGCATTGAGATTCAGATGACCATGAGTCTATAGGAGGAGAAGAGTGGTAGGTATGAGGGTATACAATTGTTGATTGGCATTTGGTTAATAAACTATTTCATGGGGTACCTGGGTGGCTCAGTTGGTTAAGCATCTGACTCTTGATTTCGGCTCAGGTCATGATCTCAGGGTTTGTGAGTTCAAGCTGCACATCGGACTCCATGCTGACAGCACAGAGTCAGCTTGAGAATCTCTCTCTCTCTCTCTCTCTCTTTCTCTGGCCCTCCCCTACTCTCTGTCTCTCTCAAAAAATAAATAAACTTAAAACAATTTAAAAAATAAACTTATTTCATTATGAAAAACCCAACTCAGGGTTTAAGTCAAAAGCCATGGAATGTTTCCAACACATTACTAAAGTTTCTGAGAATAATACTATATTGTGTACAGTTCCTCAGATAATTCACCCAAATGAATGTCTCGTGATTACTTAAATGTTTTGGAAAATCTCTCATCTAACCTACTTTATTTATTTTTAACCTACTTTAAATATAATCAGATTGCAAACACTACTAACCTGTTCGCATACAGGCTACATTTGCAAGCCACCATTCTGGGATCCTGGGCAGAATCACAATTACTCGATCTCCTCTTTGCAGGGCACAGGCTTCTGTAAGTATATTGGCAAATTTTCTAGACAAAGATCCCAGTTCTTCAAAACTCCACCTCACTTCTTCTCCACTTCCATTTATCCACCAGAAGGCTGGATTGAAAGGTCTCATTCCAGCCTGAGGAAAGACAAACCAGTCATGGATTTAAAAGTAATTATGCACCTAAATTCTATTTTAACTGACTTAAAGGAATATTTATCCAGAGGAAAGTTCATATGTCATTAGTTAGGACACACATGGAATATTGGAAAATAACTCTAGAGTCTTTATTTCTAGCTGTTGGGAGCCATGTCATTTCTTCCAGTATATGTCATTTCTCATTTAGCCCAAATGCTTTTCTTTCCAAAAAGTTAGAACTCTTGTATCCCTCTACAGTCTCTCAATGATATATCTATGCCTCATTTCCTACCATTTATGACTCTTGGAATCACTGTCATTTGACTCCTTTTTGGAGTTTTAAGAAGTTAACCCATAATCATGCATTTTTATAACCATCACCTTTCTCAACCATGGAACTATTAACATGCTGATCCAGATAATTCTTTGCTATGGGGAATTGTCCTGTGTATTAGAGAATGTGTGGGCAGCATCCCTGGCCTTTACCCATTAGCACACACCTCCTCATAAGTCATGGCAACAAAACTGTTTCCAGACATGCCAAATATCCCCTGGGGGCAAAATCACTTCCATCTGAGAAACTGTAGTTGAACTGGCCCTTGCTTCATACCTTTTCCATATCGGTCCATTGGTCCAGGACATCTTTAGCAAAGTTGAAATACTCTGGAATCTCCAGTTTGAATTCCCGTTTCATGGATTCATAGTTGGAAAAATTCTGAGGAGGCACTATTCTATAATCTTTATGCAGTTCTCTCACAGAACCAGGAATTGCTAGGCGCCAAAAACACTTGGCACGAAGTAATGTCTCCATACTGACAAGAGGTAGCATCTCTCTTGCTGGATGTGTTAGCACTTAGGATTTCCACAGAAACCAATCCATCTAAAAGACAATCAAAAGGATATGAATTTCTTTCTCTCCCCAAGGTAACTATATCCCAAAATAGCTAAGTTTTATTTTGTTTTACTAACAGTAATCCTAAAAATGCCATTCTCTGAGCACTCCATATGTTTTAAACACTGTACTCTGTTTTACTTACATATGAATTATCATTAAATCTTCAGAGTAACTCTGTGGCATGGATACTATTATCTCTATTTACAGAAAGAAAAAAATAACTAATGCGAGGCTGTCTTAGTCAACTCTGGCCACCATAACAAAATACCATAGACACGATGGCTTAAACAATAGACATTTATTTCTCACAGTTCTGGAGGCTGGGAAATCTAAGACCAAGTGCTGGCCAATTCAGTTCCCCAGTATGGGCTCTGTTCTTGGCTTGCAGATGACCACCTGCTCTTTGTGCCCTCACATGGTAGAGAGAGAAAGAGCTCTGGTTTCTCTTCCCCTTCTATAAAGATATTAATCTCATTATTGGGGCCTTGCCCTTGTGACCTCATCTAAACCTAATTTCCTCCTAAAACCCCACCTCCAAATACCATCACATTTCAGGGGTTAGGGTTTCAACATATGAATTTGGAGGGATCAAACATTCAGTTCAAAACAGAGGCATTAGTTGGATTTGAACCTACAACTGTCAGGTCCCAGCCCATTCTCGTATGTGCATGCTATTGCCTCCATGCATTTCTAAAGAAGTAAAGATCTGGGTCACTCACTTACTATCAATGAAAGCAAAGGGCCAAGCCTCTATCTAATTTAATCTTTCCTCTGCATTCAAGAGTTGTACAGACTTGTTCAGGAGAAATTTCCATGGTGGGTAATCCACAAGTGAGGAAACTGAGAGTATCCCAGTACCAATTAGGCATGAAAGAACTGTCAAAAGTCCTTTAGTTTATAGGCTGTAGTTCCCATGCTCTCACTAGGAGCCTACACAGCCTTCCAGTCCAGGCTTGGAGCTGCATTTACCAGAGATGTAATAATAGGGCTTTAACGTTTAGGACTTTTGTGGGGGAGGACCTTTCAGGCCACCGAGCCCCCCTGCTTCTGTGGGAAGTCATTTGATCATGATGCCATTTACTTGGCTGAGATCTCATAAACAAAGCTATTAAAAACATGGTTCTAGGGATTATAGGGTTCTCTTCTTCATACATTCTGTAATCTTCCAAATTTCCTACAATGAAATACTACTCTCATAATCATTAAATAATTTTTAACTGCAACTCTAGCTATGTGGTATGTAAGGCAGCATGGCTATGTGGGAGAGTTTCTATATTGCTACATTGCCAAACAATAACGGATGTCAGCCATCAGTTTTACCCTAAATGGGCCTGGAGTTTGGGATTATGCTGCTGCACCCAATGCATTGTAAGATCTGAGTTCTTCTTCTGACCCTCCCACCTGTTTATTTGAGGACCTGACAGGTCACAGAACTTGAACCCTCTGAGATCATCTGGTTTGAGCTCCCCATTTTTCTTTCCTTTTTTTTTATTAAAAATTTTTTAATGTTTTATTTATTTCTAGGAGAGAGAGAGAGAGACAGCGTGAGCAGGGGAGGGTCAGAGAGAGAGAGGGAGTCACAGACTGAAACAGGCTCCAGGCTCTGAGCTGGCAGTCAGCACAGAGCCCGACGCGGGGCTCGAACCCACGAACCGCGAGATCATGACCTAAGCGAAAGTCGGACGCTTAACCGACTAAGCCACCCAGGTGCCCCTGAGCTCCCCATTTTTCACCTGCAGAGAAAACAGAGCCCCAGAAAGGGGAAGCAACTTGCTTCAATATGGCATATCAGAGTTAGAACTAGAACTCATGTCTTTGGATTCTCATTTGAATATTCTCTTTACTATCATTCAATAGGATTTCAGTAGAGCAGTGATTCTCAACCCTGGCTGTATCTTTGGATCACCAGCAAAGCTTTTTAAAAAATATCAATGCCTGGGTATTAGACCAATTAAATCATAATCTCTGAGGGATGAGGCCTGGGCAGCATTTTTTTTTCTTTCATAGTTTATGGTCAAGTTGGATTCCATATAACACCCAGTGCTCATCCCAACAATTTCCCTCCTCCATACCCATCTCTCCCCTTCCCCTCTTCCCCCCTCCATCAGCCCTCAGTTTGTTCTCAGCATTCAAGAGTCTCTCATGGTTTGCCTCTCTCCCTCTCCCCCACTATTTCCCACCTTCTTCTCCCCTGCGGTCCTCCTCCGTTAAGTTCCTCCTAATCTTCCTATACATGCAAACATATGGTATTTGTCCTTCTCTGCCTGACTTATTTCACTCAACATAACACCCTCGAGTTCCATCCATGTTGCTACACATGGCCAGATTTCATTCTTTCTCATTGCCATGTAGTATTCTATGGTATAGATAAACCACATCTTCTTGATCCATTCGTCTGTTGATGGACATTTAGGCTCTTTCCATGGTTTGGCTATTGCTGAGAGTGCTGCTATGAACATTGGGGTACATGTGCCCCTTTGCATCAGCACTCCTGTATCCCTTAGGTAAATTCCTAGCAGTGCTATTGCTGGGTCATAGGGGAGTTCTATTGTTAATTTTTTGAGGAACCTCCACACTGTTTCCCAGAGTGGCTGTAACAGTTTACATTCCTACCAACAGTGTAGGAGGGTTGGGCAGCATATTTTTAAAAATTTCCTCAGAGGATGCTAATGTGCGATCAAGGTGGAGAATTGCTGATTCAGAGGCTGTGATCTGTGAACCAGCAGCATCAGCATAACCTGGAAGCTAGTTAGAAAGGCACATTTTCAGAACCCAGTTTCCCATTTTGACAATGTAGAGACTAACAGAACCTCTGTCAGAAAGAATGGTTCCAAAGATTAAATGAGGTAAAATACATACAAAGTGCTTACCGTGGTGTCTAGCATATTAGTACCCACTAGAACAGGGGTCGGCAAACCTTTTCCATAAAGGGCCAGATAATAAATAATTTAGGCTTTGTGGGCCGCAGGTATGGTCTCTGTGGCAACTATTTACTTCAACTCTGGCTGAGATAACAGCCATTGACAATACATGACTAAATAGACATAGCTGTGTTCCAAAAAAGACCTATTTATGGATACTGAAACATGAATTTCATATAATTTTCATGTGTCATGAATTACTATTCCTCTTTTGACTTTTTTCCAAAAGTGAAAAAACATAATATAAATTATAAATATTATATAAAATATAAATATACATTTGGTAGCCATCTCTCTAATTACAGAATTAGCATTAGGTTTCATTCAGCTGAAAGGAGTTGTTAAGAACACTAAGTTTTTAGTGTTGTAACTTTTCTCTTTATTTGTAATTTTTTAGATCATGTCTTCAAATGGTTTAAAAACATAAAAAATGTCTATATTTTTATGTTATATTATTTATGCATAAAAAATGAAAATGTAAGGGGCGCCTGGGTGGCTTAGTCGGTTAAGCATCCGACTTTCACTTAGGTCATGATCTCGCGGTTTGTGGGTTCGAGCCCCGCGTCAGGCTCTGTGCTGGCTGACAGCTAGGAGCCTGGAGCCTGTTTTGGAGTCTGTGTCTCCCTCTCTCTCTGACCCTCCCCTGCTCATGCTGTCTCTCTCTCTCTCTCTCCTAGAAATAGATAAAAAATAGTAAAAAAAAAAAAATGAAAATGTAAAAACCATTCTTAGTTTGCAGCCTGTATAAAAATAGGTAGAGGGTGGGATTTAACTCATGGCTACAGTTTGCTAATCTTTGGTGCTGGAATGTAAGTTCTGTGAGGGTAGGCATTTTGTCTGTTATGTTCATGGTACTATCTCTGGGAGATATCATCACGTTTGGCTCATAGTATTTGCTTATTTGTTGAATGAATAAATGACTCAGAAGGGAGAACTTTTGTATACAGTTTATTTCAATAGCTCAGGATTATAGTAGACCTGAGCAGTGCCTTTATTGCTTAACCAGATTTATATGACTACCTGCACTGTTCACATGTGGCTATTTAAATTTAAATTAATTTAAATACTATTTAAAAATAAGTTCTTAGAGTAGCTGAATTTTGAGTGCTAAAATAGCCACATGTGGCTCTTGGCTACTTCAGATACATAAATGCAGACATGAAACATTTCTATCACTGCAGAACATTTCTTGTGGACAGTGCTGATCTATATTGATAATAGCTCAGAAGTGGTTGATATGAGGGGCACCTGGGTGGCTCAGTTGGTTAAGCTTCCAACTTCAGCTCAGGTTATGATCTCACGGTTAGTGAGTTCAAGCCCCACATTAAGTAGGAATTAAAAACACTAAGCTTTCAGGGTTGTAACTTTTCTCTTTATTTGTAATTTTTTAGATCATGTCTTCAAAGTATGCAAAAAACATAAAAATTACACACTGAAAAATCTTTCCCCTGCACACCCCCGTCTCACAGTTGCTCAGTTTTATCCCACCCTGCTCCATTCTGTTCTACCAAAAAGAACATATCAGCATCCTCCTCATCAAAGTCGTAAGATTGCCTTCCCCCCAGCAAAGTTCTTTTCAGTGATCTTAGCATTTTATAACGTCTATTTTCCAAGTTTCCAATATTCTTTGTAGGTGAGAGAGCTGAGATAGGAGTCCAAATGTTTATACTGAGCCACAGAAAACTTCTCTAAGAAAGAAAGTACCACTCCTGGTCAGTTGGGCATTCAAAGTATTTAAGGTCTTATCTAAAATGCAAGCTCTACATCTATATAAACAGCGGTGCAGAAAAGGTTTTAGCCTCGCTATATTTCCATAACTATCTCTCCCACTGAGTAATTCAAGTAATAACAGTGGCTTAGCATATATAGCCTCAAAGCAAGGTGAAGCCCTTTCTATTCTCCCTAGCCCTAACCTTAACCTTCTATACAGGAATTTTGGAGCTGCCCTTGGCCACTTAATGGAGAAAAGTGGCTGCCCTGGATTATTTCCTTAGATTTTCATATACAAATTCCATGAAGTTTCCCTAGA